ACAGGATTGGGGAATTGGTCTATGGGGAAAAATGGCAAATAAACAAGTTGCTGGGTAAATATGTTATTATCTATTTTATTAACTATATTTTAGTATGCTAACAGTATGGTTTATTGAAGGCTTTCCTAAGGAACGTTTAAAGTATAAAAAATACAATCTTTCGATAGAAGTTTTTAGAAAGAATTCAGACATTTATGGAGTGTAAGAAAAAAAAATGGAAAAAGTGACTATATGTTATGTATGTGATGTACTGTAACACAACCGAAAAAAGAATATGCGCGGCAATAAATTTACTATATTTAAAAATAATATAGAAAATATCAATTTTTATATTAATGTCAATTATTCTGTGATCAATAATCAATAAGAACTTCAATATAATTAATTACAGTAATGGCAAAGGAAATTAATAAATTTATTTATAATTGCAAATTACAATATACAAATAATTAATTATAATATTACAGGTGACAAAAATAATAATTACTGTCCTAATCAAGTAATATTTCAATTTTGTATCTGAGAGGAATCTCTAAGTAAAGGATCCTTGTTTTTTAATAGCCATAAAATCATTTATAAGTGGTATTAAGTTAAGTTAAGTATTTGTAACAGTATTATATTTAATAATGATAAAAAATGCATAATAAAATATTAAATCTAAAAATCTATCAATTTCAGTAGTAGTGTCTATTATTTTCATTCATTTTTCCATTGTTTCAAATATTTCCTACTTTTTTTTCATCACTTTCTACTACATTTGATTTATTTACATCATTATTTACAGATTTTACTGAACTTATCTGTGGTTTTAACCTACCAGGTCTTCTTGGTCTATCTTTTGTTAACTGTATGAATTAAATGAATAATTAATATTAATAAAAATTATTAGTATTATTAAAATACATAAAATTATTTAACTTACATGAACTAAAGGTTTAATAGTTTGAACTTCCTCATCTTTCTTTTCTCCACTGTTATTATTACTAATTTCTCCATTTTCCCCAATTATGTCAACTTTTTTTATCATCCCTCCACGTCCCATTCCAGGCAACACCACTTTATTTCCAAAAACACCTTCTAATCTTTGCGAAATTGAATTGTCTAACTTTGAAGGCGCTTTAAATTGTTCATTCGTTTTTGTAATGGTAGTGGTAGAGGTAGAGGTAGAGGTAAAGAATGGAGAATTTAATTTTTGTGGGATTGGTCCTTTTGAAGGGGTTGATGAACTATTATCATTCGATTTCTAAAAAATATATATAATCAAAAAAATCAAATTTGAATTAATAATGAATAACAATTATTATTATTTAAAATCAAGAAAAACTTAAATACTTGAGCCACCCAAGGTAATTTGTCAAGTAGAACTTTTCTACCAGCTTGAGGCTTAGAAGAACTTTCTTCACCACTTTCATTTAGTTTCTTTTCTCTTTCTTTAATCAAGGAAGCTACCAAAGATTTCTTGCTTGAAGTTTCTGTTACTGATGGTGTAGGTTGTAACTCAGTACTTTCTTTTTTCTAAAAAAAAAAAAAAAAAGTTAAATAAGAAGCTAGATTCTCTTTTATAAAATCAATACGATAATACTATCTTACCTCGGATATTTCATCTATTTGTGAGCCTCCAGGAGATTTAGATGAACTTTCTTTCACTTTGTGTACTTCAGGTTCAACTTGATCAATGATCAAGTTGGAATCTTGTTCTTTGGTCACTTTGGAATTAGAAAATTCTGAATTGGGTTTAACCAAATTTTCCTCACTTTTAGAGGTAATAGGAACGTTTGTGTTGGAATTCGTAGTAGTAATACTATCATTAACATATTTTTTACCAATCGGAGTTTTTGATTTAGTATCTGAAATACCTTCGTTTTTTTTCTGTGGTTCCTCGAACACTGAACCTACAAGAGATCTCTTTATTCTCTGCGGTTCCGGTTTCGGGTG